AATTTTTCCCTTTTTAGTAAGTTGTAAAACCAACATTGCCCCAGTTTTTTAAAAAAAAAAAAAAAAAAAAAAGTGCTTTTAGGAGTATTTTTACTTTTACTTTGGTAATTATCATTACTCTTACTTAAGTAAAATTTCTGAATAATCTACCCAGTGTGAGTTTACTGAAAGAAACTGATTTGGAAAACAAATATTTTGCTTGATTTTATATTATAATGAATTATTGTCATTTTGATCCTTAAAATCTCAAAATTTCCACTTAACTTTATGTTTTTGTCTGTCTGATTATGTACTTTTTAAATGCTAAATAACTGATAATTTGATCAGTAACTCAGACTTTTTACCAAATAGTTTTTTACTCTTGAGTAAAAATATGTTGAAGTAGAGCTACTCTTACTTTAGTACAATTTTGTGTACTCTTCCCACCTCTACCAGATAGAATATCAGAATAATATTCAATTGCTGTATTAAAATGTCTCTTTTCTCTTTTCAGGCTGCTCTGGTCAAATTTAAACCCTGCAGCTTCACATCATCCTTTGAGAAAGTCGCACTCTGCTGTTGAGCTCCGGTGGATCTCTGGGCAGTCAGACTCATCCGACGAAAATGAAGCTTGGAGCAACACGGTGGAAAAAGGCCTTCTGTTCTCTCCTAAAGAGTACATCAAGAACATGTGGAAGGACTTCAAGATTCCCTCCAACAACCACCGCATGTCCTCCTCCTCAGTGCACAGCGCGCCTGGAGACCAGAGGAGACTGAGGAAGAGAAGGGACAAAAGTGAGCAGGAAGACGGCAAACCCAACGTGACCGTCCCAAAACCCTTCCACATGACGCTGCGTGAAGCTGAGAGGCTGAAGCGTGGCGTAAAGACCCGCTCCGAGGTGGAACGGGAGAACATGGAGCTGAAGAGGCAGCTGGAGGAGCTGACAGAATGCCAGAAGCAGTTCCGGGCCAGCCCCGTACCCGCACACGTCCACCTTCCGGTTTACGAAGAGATGCAGGAGCGCAACAAGGAGCAACGGAGAAGCATGCGAGATCGCGAGACGCGGCACCTCCGAGCCCTTCAAAAGCCTTTCAGCTTCCTGGAGAGGGAGAGACTAAAGAAGGAGCAGAAGCAGCAGCAGCAGCAGCAGCAGCAGCAGCAGCAACAAGCCGACAGCGAGAAGATAAAGCCTTTCAAAGCCAAGCCTGTGCCAAAATCCGTGTATGCAGCCGCGTCAGGGGATCAGGTGAAGGAGAACGAGTTGTATCGCTCCATCAAGAAGTATATGAGGGTCCAGGACTTGCTCCGGAGTTCCTCAGAGCCTCCCAGCATGCTCACACGGCGCCTGAATGATCGGAAGAAGCCCAAACACGAACCGGGCGAAGGCTTTACCCACAAGCCTCAGATAAACAGAGAGGTGCCCGACTTCAACGCCAGCTACAGACGCTTCCAAAAGCAGCTGGAGAAGCGGAAGGACGTGAAGACAACGACGGCGTGCGAGCCCTTCGAGCTGAAGACGTCCCAGATCTCCTCGCACCGGGAGCGCATTCTGGCCGACATCGAGAAGGACCAGAGCAGCCCGCGGTTGCTGCGCTGGCCCCACATCAGCCCTGGGCCGGCGCGGACCCCCAACTCAAGCCTCTGTTCGTCCCTGTCGGGAAGTCTGGAGCTGCTTCCTGCCAAAGTTACAGACGCTACTAAAAAGCGTCACGAAGCTGTGAGGTACCAAATTAAGACCCCAAAGGATTCCACCATAATAGTAGAAATAGTGACAGGCTCTGAACTCTGATGACCCGTTTAGCGGTCCTGAACAGACCCCACACCCCCACCCCAACACCTGCTGTCTCGTCCTAAAACAGCTTCCAGCCCAGAATAGCTTCCCCTGCCCTTCCTTTTGCCAAAGTCATCTCCTCCGAACCTTCCTCCATCTGTGACTGCAATTATTTTTGTAGAAAAGCTCTGGAGCAGAGGAAGAAGGCAGAGGAAGAAGAGGAGCGTTGGATGGAAAAGCAGAGGGAGAGAGAAAAGAAGCTGCAGAGGATGGTTTTAAAACGAGCCCAAGCAAATGACCCTCATCTTGCTCTTTCACAGACCAACAAGAGCAAACTGAAAGAGTTCAGGTGTGCACAGTGGTTTTACCAGTTTGATTAAATGTCACTTATCAATCAGGCAATCAATCAAGTTAATTTGTATAGCATATTACAGCAACCAGCCAGTTCAAATGGCTTTACATGGTGAAAACATTAAAACGTCATACAGTCACCAATTGTGAAAACCAGTAACAGACATTCCATTTTGTCAAGTGGCATTGTTAGAAACGTTAATATACGCCAGATTGTTGATTAATGTTTCATTCATTATGTTTCAAAACCAACTCTAAAACGGGAGGGGTTTTTAGTCTGGATTTAAAGGAACTCAGCGTTTCGGTTGTTTTGCAGTTTTCTGGAAGTCTGTTCCAGATGTGTGGTGCATAGACACTGAATGCTGCTGCTCTATGAATGGTTCTGGTTCTTGGGATGCAGACCAGAACCAGAAGACCTGAGAGGTCTGGAAGGTTGCTATGACGATAGCAGTGATTCATAAGTTAACAGTATTTTAAAGTCTTTTCTCTCAGTGTAGCGACTTTAGAACTGGGTGATGTGCTCTAACGTCCTGGTTTTAGTCAGAACTCCAGTGGCAGCGTTCTGGGTCAGCTGCAGCTGGAGGTTTGATTTGTTTAGTCAGACCTGTGAGGAGACTAATGCAGTAATCAATGCAAATAGAGATAAAATCATGGATGAGTTTCTCTAGGTCTTGCTGAGACATCAGTCCTTTAATCCTTGAAATGCTCTTCAGGTGATAGAAGGCCGACTTTGTATCTGTCTTTATGTGACTCTGAAGGTTCAGGTCAGAGTCCTTCACTATACCAAGATTTTGGGTGATTACTAGTTTGTCTCCTATGCTTACACAATATTGTGCATTTGCCCTCTCAAAGGTTAATAAACTTTATTTTGCACAGAACCACACTGGAACTGTAAAATATGTTAAATATAAAAATAAAACACAACAATCAAAAACAATAAATAAAAAGGAAATAAAAGTCACACATGAAATGGCTTATGACTTCTCTGTAAACAAAATTGCCCTTCAAAAATATTAATCATCAGAATAAAAATGATTGAGCTCACTTTAATTAATCATGCGACTAATTGATCCATTGCTTATTGCGAAAGGCTTACACTGAATTTTTATTCCCGACAGGAAACAAGACATTCAGCGTAAGAGGGAATATCGGCAGGAGATCAGAGAGATGCGAGAAAGAGTGCAAGGAAGGCCGCTGCTGCTGGAGCAGGTCACACAGGTGAGTGTCAGCACAAAGCAAAAACACGCCCATCATTTGTATGCATTTACAAAATAAAGACTAGTTTCAATTTCAATAATGCCAATATTTGCAAAGGTTATTATATTAAATAATTAGGGCTGGGCGATATGGATTAAAAATAAAACCAGATTTTTTTCTACCAAATCTAATGTCCAATTTTAATACTTTTTTCCCCCTCGCTTTCTTTTCTAAAAAACAAATTATAAATTACAGAAAATGTTTTCAAAAAGTGTTGTTTGTTTCAATCATCCGTTCAGTGAGTTGTACAACAGAATATTAAGCCTAGACTACAAGAATTTCTGTTTAATTACGAGAATACTGTTATAATGTTGGAAGAACAAAGATACAGTTTTAATCTTTGTTCTGCCAACAAAGATTGGCAGAACAATGATTTGCCTTAAATCATTCCTGATTAAAGGCTAAGAAGGGTAAAAATAAAAAATATTGTTAGCTATTTCTGTCTGCTGATTTTACTAGAAGAGCATCTTAAAATTGCAAGAAAAAAGTTTTAATGAGAATTTTTTTTTTGAGTTTTCATAAAATTACTACTTTGTTTTCAAAATATTACGACTTTATTCTGGTAATATTTAGACCCTATTCTTGTATCATTTCAACTTTATTGTAATGTAACTTTTTTCTCATATTATTTAAACTATATTTTTGTAACATTGTGACTGTTTTTGTTCAAAATCTTTCTTTGTTTCATTGTTTTTCTCTTACTTTCTCTCTGAACAATTACAATTTCATAAATACATAAATACTTTAACATGTAATTGGTGAACATATTTTTAGTCCTTAATGTTCTTGTGTGCTGTTTAAACAGTGATTCCACAGACACTGTTGTATAAAAACAACACAGGCATTAAAAAATGATTTTATCGATAACAAAACTTTAGTTAAGAAGTCATTAATTTCTCCTTTTTTAACCTGTTCATGCTAACAGAAGAATGCTAAGCAGGCAGCAGAGAAGCATTACATCGAAACCCTGCAGGGATCCGAGGTGACCGAGGACTTTATAAGCAGCAAGGCGGGCAAATCAGCGTCTGAGCGCAAAATCTCATCAGCCATTGACAATACCCAGAGGTAAGCATTTAATCATTCCTAATTTAAAGGCTAAGAAGTGTAAAAATAAAAAAATATTGTTAGCAATTTCTGTCTGCTGATTGTTTTTTTGTTTTACTAGTGATCAGGGAGAAGCCGACTTTAAAACTGTTCACTACAGAAAGGTCTCCCTGGATGATGAAGACATTAATTGTGCTTCTGATAATGACGAAGAACGAGAGGAGCAGAAGAGTGATCAGGCCTCGCTGAGCCACCGCGAGAGTGAAGACGCCAGCGGTCACCATGGTGACCATCCACACTACTCTGATGAAAGCTACACTTACTCAGACGATCATGAGAATTTCTCGGATGACAGCGAGCATGAAGTTGACGATAGGCAGCAAGAATTAATAGACTGACGACTTTAAGATGCATGTAGACAAATGCTTTTATTCATGAGCTCTGCAATAGATACGGAGTTGTAATTTTAATTTTAGTTTGTAAAAATAAACATGAATTCTTCTGCCATTGTGATTGTTTCTGAAATCTCTCCCTTGTTTCACTTTTCATTAATGTCAAAAGTTGGATTCATAATTGTTATTTATAGGCTGGATACATTTCACAGCCATACGTCATATGTTTTGCCCACACCTTGAGAATTATACCTTGCAAAAGAATCCACCCATCCATCTGTAGAGTCTTATGCTTGCAGGTTTTTTGGGTCGTAGTTATTGAGCAAGAGGTGAGCATGTCACCAGTTTGAGATTGAGACACAAAGGACAAGCAATTATTAACACACACACTCCTAATGAACTGTTATGCAAAGTGAAAATATGTCACTTTTGTAGTTCCTAAGGTCGGTAAACTGCTACGAAGCAGCAGATTACAGAATTATGAAAAATTTGTCAGTCAGATTAGTCAATCATACTTTTTGTCACATCTTTCTTATTTTCTTTGTTGCTTATTTGCATGGGGACAAGTGTTAGGTATAAACGAAAACCTTAGCTAATTTGCAGTGCATGTCCCCAGTTGTAGATTTAACAACATAAAACAATTTTGAAAAATAAAGCAACATAAAGTCTCATACATAAGATTAATATTTAGTATCTGTTAAAAAATACTAAATTTAACTCTGAAGTTGATGGTTTCCTAATAGTTTTTTAGGTTTTGATTTCCTGGTAACACTATGATAATCACCCCTTGCTGACATATGACATTTCAAATATTCCAAAATGTATTCATGCTCTTCAACAAAGAATGACTAATTTCCAACTTTACAACTATTTCGAGTGAATAATCCTATAACGTTATAGTCCGATAACGTCCCATAAGGATTAGAGTAAATACCTACTTGGTTCAATGATATACAAAAGGCATCCTTACACTTATTGATTTTAGATCAAATTCACATTTATTACATAAGACAGTTTAGAAAAGAAAAATAAATTTAAATTCATCACATGTTGAGCAGTGCACTAGCAAATCTTCTCTTCTTGGCAAGCTCTTGCTCATGTCGCACCATATAAAGAATTTACAAGCGACAGATGAACAACTCCGCCTCGTGTGACGCACAGTGTGATGTCAATAGCGAAGGAACCAATCGCGTGGTTAGTGGGCGGGAGCATGATCCAAATTTTACGCGGCGCGCGGTGGGCCGAAAGACCGAGAATGAATAGCCCGGTCTCAACCGGTTCTAACCGGTCTGCAGTTGGAAGCATGAGCTTAGAGGAAGAGCACTTTTCCACGACCTAAAACATCTCTGCTGTCGTACAATGTGCAAATTGGAAAAGAAATAAAATTAGACTATTTCACTTCGTGATTATGACTCGGAATATCGCTCCAACTGTGACTCCGTGAAATTGTTGCTGTTAGCTTAGCTCAACGATTTATTAGCCAGCAGATCTAAATCATCAATGACTTTTCCATTAGCAGGGGTACTAGCTGTTACAGTCGGATGTAGTTGCCGATAGCTGAAAAGAGGCTTCTTTTTCACAGTGACTGAGTAAAAGAAAGATTGTGCGCTACTGGTAGTTTTAAAGTAAGTCGAAGGATACTGCGGAAAGCCATTTTTAACTAGGCGTTGGTTGCTTTTTGTCATCTACGGAAGCTAGCGTTAGCCTTTAGCTAGCAAGTGCTAGCTGCAGTGTAGCATCAGTGGTCGCAATGAGATAACGCTACATACTTTTCAACGTATTAAGACGCTTAGCATTCCGAGCTCCAGCTACAAGATCATTCAGCAACATTACACTGGTTTTACGACAAGTGGACTGCACATACCAGGTAAGTAAATCCCGAGCATCGTCTAGCTAAATAGTTAAGTTCGCGTGGGCTAATATTAGCATCCGCGAGTTTCATAATAAAACTTTTTGACTTATTTCTTGTTATGCTGCGATAAATAGAAAAGTCAAAGAAATGCGGCTAGAGTTTAAGCGACCCTTTTTCCTGCTTAAACTATTTTTATTCTATAAAACACGTCTATGCTTTGGGTTTTCGTAGACACTTTTCTGTGTTCCTGTGCTGCCAGACGGGGGCGCCGTTTCCCATTAGGCCGCTTAATCGTTTGACTGTCAAATATCGCTACTTTAGGCACTCATCCCACAAAGTGCTACAACATTTACCTTTTCGTCTCTTACGCTTCATTGTGTTTGCTTTTGGATTGCAACATGTCTTTAAGACTTGAGAAGTTAGATTGAGTTAATCTCCTCCTCCAAGTTTTATATATATATACACATACACATTTTATTCTAAATTCCACTTGTAAATATAGATACATGTATTATGATTTGTCTTATGGCACTATGAAGTTGAGGTTTTGCCAGTCTTTATCTAAACTAGATTTTCCTAAACGCCACAGGAAGCTCTATGCCAGCTGAAATGACCATGTTGGCCGATCATCCAGCCAGACAACTGCTGGACTTCAATCAGAAACTGGACATCAACCTGTTGGACAGTGTTGTCAACTCTATGTACCATGACATCGGTAACCAGGTGAGGGACATTTTCTTCTGTCAGCGTTGCCTTTGTGTGGGAGGAATAACAAGGTTCTTATGCAGACTTGAACAATAAATTTTTTTCACAGAATTTGATGTGGTAATTAAACAACCAGAGCTGATTACTGCATTTCTGATATAATATTAATCATTTTTTTGGTTTTGTGTAGCAAAGAGTGGCTCAAGAAGTGTTAACAAACCTGAAGGACCATCCTGATGCGTGGACGAGGGTTGATACCATTCTGGAATTCTCTCAAAATATGAAGACTAAAGTATGAACTTAAAATATTTGGATTTTGTAAAGGGGATATTTACAATTATATGTTTAATTTTTTCCTGTCCAGTGTTAAAATGGAAGGTTATTCTCCAGTACTCTTTTCCATGCTAATTTCAGTGTTTTTACTGGTTTATATATGCATTTTAATGTTTGTTGGTTTTGTGGAATGTGCCCTTCAAGAGCCTGATTTCCTCAGTTCTTTGTATTTCATAACAATGGCTCAAGATTATCTATTCATTGTAAAAGGGGACAAAAAACAAAAGGTGGAAATTGTGTGCAGATTTTACTTTCTGAACATATTAGATAATGAAAATCTGCATTGTGTTACTTCCTTTATTCGCTGTTCACTGGATCTCATGGTTAAAGACCTGGTTTAAAGTTGTATCTCTCCATTTTCCTCAGTACTATGCGCTGCAGATTCTGGAGGCAGTCATCAAAACACGCTGGAAGATTCTTCCAAGAAATCAGTGTGAAGGTAAATTTTACTTCTGATGCTGCATAATGGGCTTGACCACCTCTGGTGTTTGTTTAGCTCTCCAACACAAGTCATGTCTGCATTTGTTTGGCAAGCATCTGCTAATAAAATGTGACTTTTCCAGGAATCAAAAAGTATGTTGTTGGGTTGATTATCAAGACTTCCTCTGACCCTGCAAACATGGAGGTAAAGTTGTTGTCATAGAGAAATCTTGAACTTTCACACACAAAACATGTCAGTCTTTCTCTCATTATTCATTCTGCAATTTTGATATTTGTTTTGCAGAAAGAAGGGGTGTATATTTCAAAGCTCAACATGATTCTCGTACAGGTAATGATTTCAAATCTATGGACAGACACAATAACTAACAAGCGTAGAATGTTGATGGCAGTCGATTCTTTGTTTTGGTCTATTTAGATCTTGAAACAAGAATGGCCCAAACACTGGCCCACCTTCATCAGTGATATTGTTGGTGCCAGTCGGACCAGTGAGAGCCTCTGTCAGAACAACATGATCATCCTGAAGCTCCTCAGTGAAGAAGTGTTCGACTTCTCCAGTGGCCAGATGACACAAGTGAAGGCCAAACACCTCAAAGACAGGTTACTGATTTAAAAAATCATTTAAAGCGGGGAGTCCTTTAAAGTCTTTAACTATTGGTTCAGGAAAAAAAAAAACAGATGAAAAAATGTTTGGGCTTGAAAACTTCATTTCAAGTTGGACTTATTAAAAAAGCTGCGGTTCGTCTAATAGTCAGATGATAACAAAATGTCAATTTGCATGTTTATTTATTCAATAAGCCTCGTTGAATTTTGTAGGGTCATTTATTGTGTTTAGTCATTTATAGTCTTAAAGATTAAATTGTATTCTGTCAAATAAGTATTCTTATTAAACTAATAATAAGAATACTTATTAAACTAAGTATTCTGTGAGTACTTAGTTTAATAAGTACTGTTATTAAACTATTGTTTGGATAACACCAGTATTATTGATTGTAAAGTTACGTCTTTATCTTAAATTATTAATCCTACTGTCACTAACGATGCTTTTTCCTCTCTCATTTTTTTAGCATGTGCAATGAGTTTTCTCAAATATTCCAGCTGTGCCAGTTTGTAATGGTAAGACTGTCAAAAGTCTGGAGACTTCTCAGTATTTTTATTTTAGTTTCTTTCGGAATAATCACCGATTGTTCCTCTGTTGTTTTTCTGTGAAGGAAAACTCCCAAAACGCACCTCTGGTCCACGCCACTCTGGAGACTCTCCTGCGTTTTCTAAATTGGATTCCTTTAGGATACATATTTGAGACCAAACTCATCAGTACTCTGGTCTACAAGGTAAACCAGCAAACATGAATGAGGAAGTTCAACATTCCCCTGGGTCAGGTGATGTGTCTCAGTCTGACCTTCTCCTTCTTTACTCCTTCAGTTCCTGAACGTTCCCATGTTTCGCAACGTGACGCTGAAATGTCTGACAGAGATTGCTGGAGTGAGCGTCAATCAGTACGAGGAGCAGTTTGTCAACCTGTTCACTCTCACCATGAGCCAGCTCAAACAGGTTAGCGCCACTTTTACCATGTTGCAGTTCACTGACTGGTTGTTTTACAACCAAAGTGAAAACCGGTGCCTTTGCTTGCCTAGATGCTGCCGCTGAATACTAACATCAAAGTGGCGTATGCCAACGGGAAAGACGACGAGCAGAATTTCATCCAGAACCTGAGTCTTTTTCTCTGCACGTTCCTCAAAGAACACGGGCAGCTGGTCGAGAAACGACCCAACCTGCGTGAGACGCTCATGGAGGTAGAAACGCTGAACCGTCTCTGTTCTTAAAAAGAAACTAGATTTTTTCATTTCCCTTCCCTTGGTTTTACTTTAATTAAAAACATAAGCTCAAGGGTATGATTCACATTAGTTCTGCTATATTGTGGTTAAGAGAAATGGGGGCTAACCTTCAGACTACAGTTTTTCTTTCTTTAAGTTTTGTTGCTCATGGGCTCCAGATTTTGTTACCTGAACCAAAGCAACACATTTCCCCAGTGGATAAAACTAAAACTAGGGCTGCACAATATATTACAAATATATCATTTTTACAACATCAGTATGCACAATATTCATATTGCAAATGACTGTTTAGAGGGCAGTAGTTGTTGGGAAATATATGTTAAGAGTTTATGTTGTAATGTTTATGCTAAACGCTCACACCGGATATAAATGACATGACAAAAATGCTAAAATTCACACAGAGTAAGAAGAAAACTGGTATATTTTACCTGATGTTGTCCTTGTAATGTTTACACATATTGTGCAGCCCTACTTAGAAAAAATCAATTGCAGCAAACCCTACAAATGCTTTTTCTTTTTTTTTCTTTTTTTGTTTTTGCTGCTTTTTGTTTTTTTTTAAATCTCCAAAGAGATTAAAGATTCAATGAAGTAATCTCTGTTAATTTCTTCCTCAAACTCTTTCCGTTCTCCAGGCCCTGCACTACATGCTGTTGGTGTCGGAGGTGGAGGAGACGGAGATCTTTAAGATCTGCCTTGAGTACTGGAACCACTTGGCAGCAGAACTGTACAGAGAAAGCCCATTCTCCACCTCAAGTACTCCTCTGCTGTCTGACGTTCCTCCTCGACGACATCTCTACCTGCCTGTGCTGTCCCAGGTGAGCTTAATCTTTTTACTCTGATGGTAAATCATGTTTGAGAAGCATTAAATCCTATTTTATTTGATCATGTTTCTATTGACCACTACGTAGATGTTTTATTGTACAGATGCAGGTATTAAACAGCTCATTGAGTCACTTGAATGACTCGAAGGCGGTCACAGATTGCTGACGTCGGTCCGTTTCCTCCTGCAGGTGCGTTTGCTGATGGTGAGCCGCATGGCCAAACCAGAGGAGGTGCTGGTAGTGGAGAATGATCAGGGCGAGGTGGTCAGAGAGTTCATGAAGGACACAGACGCCATCAATTTGTACAAGAACATGAGAGAAACTCTTGGTGAGTAGTTAGACATTTGTGGGTCAAGACTGTGTTGCTGCTTTTCATCTTAGCAGTATTAATGTAGCTATCTAAATGTTTTTCTAGTATACAAGTACAAAGTGCCTTTTTGATTTTTTCTTTTTGTTTGGTGCCTCCATATTTTTTCACTATATTTACAACAAAATGTGTACAGAATTACTGTGTCCACACTTTAAGTCTTAAACTAAGACCTTGAAATGTATCAAATTTATTTAAAAGTAGTTTTTAATATTTTTCTTTTTATTTTATCCCAAAGTTTTTCTGTCAGGAAAAACTTTGAGTCACCTGCAGACATCTTGACTGTGTTCTGTGACTTGATTCCATTGAGGTTACCAGTAACTTGCTGCTAATATACCCTCGCTAGCTAGCTAGCTAATTAGCACCTCTTGTGGGCACCAAGCCGGGTTCAGAGTTTTTGCTATGCTTGATATTTATGCAGCAAGTTTCCCCAACTGTCCCCTGTATTTATAATTCTTTCAGTCATAAATTTCATTCACTGTGACATTAAAGGTCTTAAAAAGTCTCAATTGCTGAAACCTACAGAAACTTTGAATCAAGTCTGCGTCGCGTCACACAGTGTTGCTGTTTTATTTATTTCTCCCTGTGTCTGAATCCCTGCAGTATATCTGACACATCTGGACTACGCAGACACTGAGCGAATCATGACAGAGAAGCTCCACAACCAGGTGAACGGCACCGAGTGGTCATGGAGGAACCTGAACATGCTCTGCTGGGCCATCGGCTCTATAAGCGGGGCGATGCATGAGGAGGACGAAAAGAGGTTCCTGGTTACTGTCATTAAGGTGGGATGCAGTGAAGAAACTCTGTTTAGTAAGAACTACATAATGTTGTTACCAGTTCTTGACAGTATTTGTAACTCTATCTGTGCAGGACCTGCTTGGCTTATGTGAGCAGAAAAGGGGTAAAGATAATAAGGCTATAATAGCGTCAAACATCATGTACATCGTGGGTCAGTATCCCCGTTTCCTGCGAGCTCACTGGAAGTTCCTCAAGACAGTCGTCAACAAGCTGTTTGAGTTCATGCATGGTGAGTCAAAATGGCGTTTCATACCAGTCTGTATGTTTATTCTTAGATTTTAAAGGCATCCATGACCAGTTGATCATTCTGGCTTAAACAAGCTGTGATTTTCCTATTAACCTAAAAGTTATTGTTTGTGATGTGTGAAGACTCATAATAATTCAAAAAAATGTGTAGATCTTTATTTTTCACCACCAAAAAATGGAGGTTGCCGTTTTTTTCTTTCACCTGCGCAATGCATGCTGGGCCGATGATGAGGTTATAGTGGACAAGGGCTTATAAACAAAAAAACAAGTCAAGGTTGTGAAGGCCTGAAAAATGTTAGTTTCTATGTGCCATGATAGACAAGACCTGACCAGCTTGTGATGTACTGCTTTAATGTATTAGCATGAGCTAATGCCATTAGCATGAGCTAACAAACATCAAAATAATTGGAAAGATTACAAATGAATATATTTAAGTGACATTGTAGCATCGTTAAGCCTTTGTAATTCTCCGTTCTAATATGTTTGAGAAAATATTTTGATCTTCATTCTAACTTTAAACGGCTCGAGTTAGAAACTGGAGCTTCCTGTCGGATTAGCGTTTCCAAGCAGCAGCCACACAAACAGCAGCTTCTTTGGTTGAATCTCTTTTCTTCCTCCGTTTGGTCTTCATCTTTATTCCCCCTCATCATTTCTGCGTTGCCTTGTATTTCAGTTTGCTCCAGTTTATATTTAAAGTGCTTAATGTTGCGTATCGCAAAGTTTGTAACATTTTTATTTAAATTTATGAAAAACTAAACAGCCTACAGTGTTTTTACTGTTGCAACTAATTGTGGATCCCTTTAAAGCATGAAGAGAACATTGTTGCATCTCCATGATTTAACATTTGAATTAATTTTTCTTTTTTTTTTTTTTGTAACGCTCTTTCACTGCAGAGACTCATGATGGCGTCCAGGATATGGCTTGTGACACGTTCATCAAGATTGCTCAGAAGTGCCGCCGTCATTTTGTTCAGGTTCAGGTGGGCGAGGTGATGCCCTTCATCGACGAGATCCTCAGCAACATCAACACAATCATCTGCGACCTGCAGCCCCAGCAGGTCAGTCTAAAAGCATTTTACACCATCAGTGTGACTAAAAACATACAGGAACATCGAGCTAACCCTTCCTTTGCGTTGTCTGCAGGTTCACACGTTTTATGAGGCCGTGGGTTACATGATCGGCGCTCAGACGGACCAGGCGGTTCAGGAGCTTCTGATAGAGAAGTACATGCTGCTCCCTAACCAGGTTTGGGACAGCATAATCCAGCAAGCCACCAAGGTGAGAACAACATCAGGAAATCGTTTTTATCAAGGGTTCTGTGTCACAGTGTGTGCTGCATCTAAAATCTGGATTCTGCTGCAGAATGTGGACATTCTGAAGGATGCAGAGACGGTGCGCCAGCTCGGCAGCATCCTGAAGACCAACGTCCGGGCCTGTAAAGCTGTCGGACATCCCTTTGTCGTCCAGCTGGGTCGAATCTATCTGGACATGCTCAACGTCTACAAATGTCTGAGTGAAAACATTTCCTCGGCCGTCCAGACCAATGGTCAGCTGACTAACCTTTGTGCTCATGTTTTTGGTATTTATATTTGATAATGGTGATTCATTCAAACTGTTTGTTTTTCTCACATCTGTGTAGGCGAGATGGTGACAAAGCAGCCTTTGATAAGGAGCATGAGGACAGTAAAGAGGGAGACGCTCAAGCTGATTTCAGGCTGGGTCAGTCGCTCCAGTGACCCTCAGATGGTGAGGCTGCCCTTTGTTTCCTGCCCTTTTTTTATCCGTTTTTTTTCCTTTCTTACAACACAGTTTATAGAGAGAGGCATTGTTCTAAATGTTGAAGCCAACATTTTGTTTCTAAGTGCACAGAGCCCATCAGAATAGCAAAACCATATTTTAACAACAAAAAATAGTGTAAAAACCAAACCAAATGTAAATTTAATGTACTGATGAGATCTGCTAAAGTTTTGTTAAAAGTGCAGACATAAGTCTGAGGTTTTCTCTTGGTTATTTATAGTGTTGTACTATTTATTTAAATAACTATTTAGGCGAGGCTTTAAAAAACTTAAAATGTACCATATTTGGATGTGCTGTGGTGGCGCAGGGGTTGGGCACAACCCACATATGGAGGCCTTGGTCCTCGACTCGGCTTTCCAGGTTCGATTCCCGGCTGTCAGGGACCAGGCAGTACAAAACGCAGAACACAGGTAGTTGAATTCAAAAAGGGGTGGGTTTTATTTACCCAAAAATATGAACAAAAGTTAACATAACAATTAAACAGGCATGCCAATAAAAGAGGTCAACATAAATTACTAGACGAAGACATAACTGACAAAACAATAAACTGACCTAACTGAAATGACACAGAAGGGGATTTAAATACAGGTTTAGCTAAACCATATGGACACAATAGGGGAAAACAAAATGGCTGCCACCTAACAATTAACACAAACAATAAAATAAACCCAAAAACATCCCCCCCCAGCATGACACAGGTGGTTCAGTCCAATGAGGCCATCAGCTGTACTTTAGGAACCTCAGCCCTTTGCCACGCCTTTTATCCACCAGGAAGGGGAGCCAAACACCCAGGTAACTCAAACAAAGAAAACAATATTAATACAACATAAATAAATTTCGACCTTGCAGTGTTAATACGTGTGCACTCCATATAAACATTGGAAGGTGGAAAAAAAAATATAAATACTTAAACTTACAAAACAAACTAAAGTGAAAACTAACTATTAATGAAATGTGGATCTCACCCTGTGTGGCTTGCCATCACACCGGCCTTGGCGACCTTTGCTGCATGTCTGCCCCTTCTCTCATTATCCACTTTCCTGTCGATTGACTGTCAAATAATGGCCACTAGAGCCAAAAAAATCTTTAAAAAAAACTTAAAATGTACCATATTTATCACTAATAAATCAGGCACGGTAACAGTTATAACAGTGCTTAACTGGATAAACATATTTTGGTGTCTTATCTATACACAGGTACCAAAAGTTTGCATTTAGAGCTGTTAGCTATGGAGTTATTCTTGATTTATTTGATTATATTTTCATGTAGAAGTTACTTCTAAAACCCCATGTGGGACTTAAAGTCAAAGCAGATATCTTTAGCTTCAGTAAAAATTTTAACTTCTGCCCATTTAGGATGTAAATAGTTTCTTAAAAAGCTAAAATATATTTCTATTCTTGGGAAGAAATGTTTTCTTCCATTGGAAATATTCATATCTTGCAAGTCTCCTGTATTCTGGTTTTGGTTATAATGGGGAACAGCCCTGAATGTCACCCTGCAATGCATTCTGGGAGTTCTGTATCTGTCCCACAGTGCTTAAATGAGGTTAAACAGTTAAGACTTTTTTTTTTTTTGGTTTTCTCCCTGATGACATTTCACCTGCACTTCTCTTTAAGCTGCAATATAAATTAGTAACAGATTATATAACTATTTAATCTGACAGATTGAAATAATGCAATATGGCACAGTAAAATAGACAAGTGTTATACATAAACAGGTGTATCAGAAATTGAACTGAAAACAGTAAAGATGTTTGTTGGTCTGTGGTTAAGGTGGGAGAGAACTTTGTGCCCCCCCTGCTGGAGGCCGTGCTCATCGATTACCAGAGGAACGTCCCGGCTGCAAGAGAACCTGAAGTCCTCAGCACCATGGCAACTATAGTCAACAAGTTGGGAGTTCACATCACCAGCGAGATCCCGAAGATCTTCGACGCAGTCTTTGAGTGCACTTTAAACATGATCAACAAGGTCTGCAGAGGATTAACGCTCTGAGCTCAGTGCTGCTGGAAACTGTGCTGACCTCAGCTCTGCTCTGGTTTTCTCCTTTGCTCTCAGGACTTTGAAGAATTCCCGGAGCACCGAACTCATTTCTTCTACCTGCTCCAAGCTGCCACGTCCCAGTGCTTCCCCGCCTTTCTGGCCATTGCTCCAGCCCAGTTCAAACTGATTCTGGACTCCATCATCTGGGCTTTCAAGCACACCATGAGGAACGTGGCTGACACAGGTAGGCCTGTCGCAATGAATTATCCTGGATGGTAAATTCTCCCATATTTTACGATAAATAACGTTGTTGTTTTGAGACCATTTTCAAGTAATATAATGGTAAAGGCATGATAATGCAATGACACGTTCTCAAAGATCAATAAACTTTAAATTTGAATGAATATTTAACACTGAAACTGGAAAACATTTTAAATATCTAAAGTAAATAAAAGAACAAATAAAATGAATTAGAAAGTCTCTGTAAACATAATTGTCATTCAAATTAAGAGCTATTTGAAACCAAAACGCCACAGTGAAGACTTGTCGTTCAGTTTTTGGTAAAAAAAGAAGAATAAAAGGAACAAATCATGCAAATGAAAATTATTGGGTTCATTTTAATTTATCAGGCAATTGATTAATATTACAACAGGCCTAGACACGTTTCACACTGTGGAATCTGCTTGATTAACTTTAGCTGCCACATAAACTAGAGCTGAATGAAACAGGGGTGTCCAAACTGTATCTAAAAATTAAACTCACTGAAATCACACTTTTTATTTTTTTTGTAGCCTGCATAACAATAAAGTAAAAGTGCAATATTGTAATTAATCTAATGCAGTCTTTATGTATTTTTATTTTTTGGCTTAAATGCCAGCGGTTTTTGCGTGCTTGAATTGCTAAAAAAAAAAAGTTTGCTTGGTAAATTGTTTTGATGCACCAAAATCTGGTTTTGAGTAAAAGTCACTGTGTAAATCTGGTCCTATTTACTATTAAATTACAGGATACAAAAAATGTAGTAATTAAAAAAACACTTGATGTTTTACCCTAACGTTTCTGTGAGGAGATTTTAACTTGACCTCAATAATTTTGCCCTAATTAAAAATAAAAATCTCCATCTGGATCAGCCACCTGAACAGGTTGGATCCATTTGTATCATATTTGAGTTGCAGTGAGACGTCACAGAAAATTAGTCCCAAGAAAAAAACCTCCTTCTGCTTTGGATACCCCTGAAATAAACACGCAAATGTAGACCACTTAATGATAACCCAGTCTCGGTTATTGCTTTTCTGTTTATTATTCTGTCATATTCTTCACCTGTACCTGATGATTAAAAGATGGACCTGCAGTTGTCATTTTTAGTGATGGATTTTTGTTGTTCTCAAATGAATGTCTGCTGTTAAAGCTTTGTTTGTTTGATCGCCTCCAGGCCTGCAGATCCTCTACACGCTCCTGCAGAATGTTTCTGCAGAAGAGGCAGCAGCACAGAGCTTCTACCAGACCTACTTCTGTGATATCTTGCAGCACATCTTTTCTGTGGTCACTGATACGTCACACACTGCAGGTAAACGAGGCTGACCTTGACATATGTCGCTACACTTTCTGATGGTTGTCATTCTAAAGTTTTCCTCATGATTACTTGTATAAACCTATTACCCAGTTCCCTCACGATAAGATGCCATGTTTTTATTTGTATTTCTATAACTGATGAGCTGCTTCTTTCTGTCTGCAGGTCTGACCATGCATGCCACCATCTTGGCCTACATGTTTAACTTGGTGGAAGAAGGGAAAGTCAGTGTTGCTCTGAGCACCACCAACCCCACCAACAACCAGCTGCATGTTCAGGAATACATCGCCAACCTGCTCAAGATGGCCTTCCCTCATTTACAAGAGTAAGAAACCAAATAGTCACAACTCTGCTGCACGTGTTGGTGTCTGACCATTAGGATGTGAAATAAACACGGTTAGACTGGGAAAAGGAAATGAAATTATATTTTCATTCAGAAGGTACCAGCTCCTGGAATCAATTAGGCAACATGATGATGAATATTGTTTTTCTTTTGCATTCTCTCGCAATAAATTGGCAAATACACCTCGGTTTGTTTTGTATGCAGTCACAGTGACGACAAATGTCAATTTAAAATTGCACATACAGGTCTAGAAAAAATTGAGACCACTTAAAATTGAGTTTCTCTTGATTTTCCATTTCATAGGTTCATGTTTGAGTAAAATGAACATTGTTCCTTTATTCTATGAACTACTGACATGTAATTCTAAGGAAAAATGTAATATTTATTTACAGAAAATGAGAAATGGTCAAAATAACGAAAAAGATGCAGCGCTTTCAGACCTCAAATAATGCAAATAAAACGGTTCATATTCATTTAGAAACAACAACACTAATGTTTTAACTTAAGAAGAGTTCAGAATCAATGTTTGGTGGAAAAACCAGGAGGTTTTCAATGGGGTTCAGTGCGGTGGACTCTTGATGTGTTCCAAATCTGTTATATTTTAAAGAGCCTCAGTGAAAACGTGTTAAAGCATTCTCACCTTTTTGATGCAGAAAAATGGTTGACTGGTCAACTGCAATGTTACACCCTTGAAAATGACTCGTATATTCCAAATAGTTTGGATGCATTTTTTTTCTTTTCTTTCTTACAGAAAGTTTCTGTTTATGTCTTAGAGGAGAGAGAGCAGGTTCATGTTTGGTCTGTTTGTTTTGCTTCTGTCTTTTTACACTTAAATATGTGTTTGTATCAAAAAAAAAGATAGAAAATTTGGACGCCTTACATAAACTTCATATTGTAGCTGAAAGACTTTCAGTATTCAAGATGTCACAAGAATGGATTAGTAATTGATACTTTTGCGTGGGAAAATAAATATTTCCCATGTTCCCTAGTGAGCTATGTAAGCTTCAGTACATCTAATGATTCCTAATTTGTGACGCCTGACTCTAATTACTCTTTTGAATTGGCTGTGCTTTTCAAGTTATCATAAATCTCTTGTATTTTTCACATTTTCTGCTAAATTATAATTTTTTTTCTTTCAAGTTAACATCAACATTTGGCTTTTGATAAAAGTATTGTAAATGGTTCTCTTCTGCTAATTCTTGATGGACTGCACAGCTAAATGCATTTATTGCTGTGATAGGATAGTTTTTAGTTTATATACTTGGATAAAATGTCAGATAAACTGTAAGGAACATGCTACAAGATAAACTCGTTGTTTTGTTCCTTTTGGAAATGTTCTTCACTTGACCCTGATGAAATGTTGTGTGCAGTGCCCAGGTGAAGGTGTTTGTAACTGGTCTGTTCAGCCTGAACCAGGACATCCCAGCCTTCAAGGAGCACCTAAGGGACTTCCTAGTGCAGATCAAGGTCAGTGAAAGCTGCGTCTAGCAAAAGTATTTATACCCTTCCAACATTTTTGTTTGTATTTTCTCTTGTTAAAGCTAAAAAATTTTATATTTTATTGGGGTTTAATGTGATTACCTAGCCACAATTTCCTCTTGAGCCGTTGTAATCATTTTGTCCACTTCACCCAGATATCTTTTTAGTTTTAAGCAGTGGAGAAATATTAAACTGCCGCTGTGAAAGTTACTCAGTAGTTGCTAGGTAACCACAAGTGACTCGGCAGGTTGCTAGGTAACCAGAGTGAGCAAGGTAGTTGATTCCACCAACTTTGCTTAGGTTTTTTATTTTTATTTTTTTATTTCAAACCTTACATAGAGGATATTTAACACAGTGACAAATATCACAATACTTTAATAAAATAAAAAAAATAACCGCAGACATTGGTCATATTGGTATTAAGGTCTTAAAATCTACAAAGTAGAAAAAATAAAGTCAGAAAAAAGCTAAATAAATTCAATAAAAATTAAAATAAAACAGTGTGTACCTTTTTAGTCTACACAAATATGATTTTCTTAAATTGTCAAAAATACTTTTAAAATTATGGTTGTGAGAGTTGGAGCAGATAAAGCTTTTCCTCTGCCTACATCTCCCAGAATGCTGAGCAGTTCTGGATCGTTCTGTGAAATTATTGAAAATTGAGACATATGTTCTATTATTAATCCATCTGTCACAATATATATATTTGACTTATTCACTTTTTGGGTTCAGTTTTGCATATAGGTTTTATTAGAAGCTTTACAGTTTTAAAGCCAAACTTTGTACTTTTTTTTTTTTTGGATACATTAAACCCAAAATCGAAGCTCTGAAATACTAAACTAAAAGCGTTAAATGAAGTGGATTTCTCTTTTCTTTTTAGTTGAATATGTGAAGATGAAACAACTTTAAATTCCATCAGCATTGTAACATCTAACTCGAAACCAGTTTCAGACCAATTCTTTTTGGGTTTAGATTATCTACTGAAACATTATAAATAGTCTGATATTATACTCTCTTTAGAAGCAAAACACTATTAAAATAGTTATGTAGAGGCAAATTATAACTAAAATCCAGTTGGAAAGAAAATTTCAAAAGGATAAAAGTAAAATAATTTACTGGATTCCAGTAGCCTGCTCTTCAGATCTAGCAGCTGGATTTGAGCGGTTCTGATCTTGATCTCTGGTGGTCCAACAGGAGTTTGCTGGTGAGGACACGACGGACCTGTTCCTGGAGGAGCGGGAATCGGCTCTTCGCCAAGCTCAGGAGGAGAAACACAAGCTGCAGATGTCTGTGCCTGGCATTCTGAACCCCCATGAGCTGCCAGAGGAAATGTGCGACTAAATCACCTGCAGCGTAAAAAGAACAAGCTCAGAGCCGCGAGGATGCTTCTTCATGAATGATTTTCTTTTCAAGTATTTTGAAGTATTTGAAATTGTTTGGAAAGAGAATTTGGGCCGATAGGAAGAACCCTGGCACTCGGTTGTTTGTCGACCAAATCAATGTTTATATGTAAATGAGAATCGCCATCAGTTTTGGTATGTTTTCTTTTTCCTTTACCATCTTATTTTATACAAAGGTTTTTGTGTGTAACATGCCATCTTTTGTTAATTTGTTATTAAAGCTTTGATTGGCAACACTGTTCTTTTACATCTGCTTGAAGTTTAAAAAATTAAAGGTTAGTTTTAATCCCTCAACTCAATAGATTCAACTCCTGCTCTTTGTTAATATGTAAAATATAATGTTAAGACTTTTGCCATGTTAATGTGAAAGATTGCTCGGTTTCAAAAGTGCTTTGTGCACTGAATAGAATGAATGTGATGCTCAAGGATAGCTCGGTCCTTGTTTTTTGTCAGTGTGATAATTTTTATTTTTTTGTTTCTTGCTTTTTTGTCCTTAAACGGGTTGGAGCTCTGCTTCTGCTATTGGGTGTAACTGAAGGTTGTGTGCAGATCATCCTGTTTGTAAACCTTTCCAAGTACCATATAAAGTTGGCTATTTTTACAAAACAACTGTATGCCCATTCTTCAAATTATAATGTATTTTTGAACCATCCAGTGCCTTGAGATTACAATAAAAAGCAGCTTGATCAAGTTTTAACATTGCAGAATTTTACAAAATTACAAAAGACATTAAGTTTTCTTTTTGTATATTTGGGTCAATGAGAACCAAACGTGTGTGTGTCTGTGTGTATATATATATATATATATATATATATACTGCTCAAAAAAATAAAGGGGACACTCAAATAACACATCCTAGATCTGAATGAATGAAATATTCTCATTGAATACTTTGTTCTGTACAAAGTTGAATGTGCTGACAACAAAATCACACAAAAATCATCAATGGAAATCAAATGTATTAACAAATGGAGGCCTAGATTTGGAGCCACACACAAAATTAAAGTGAAATGTTCCCTTTATTTTTTTGAGCAGTATATATTCCCCCATTCAATTGATTTCTTGTGTACTGTATTTATATATTTTTATTTGAATTGGATTTTTGTTTGCTCATAAATGAAGTTAATTAAAAATGAGGAAAAAAATATTTTTTTTTTATTTAAAAACCTTTTTTTATTAAAGTTTTTAAAAATTAGGAAAAATATACCTACGATGTCCTTGAGATCACCTGACAAAGAGTGGTTGTTTAAGAAATATCGCGAGACTGCTGAGCCAAAAACGAACCGACGAAGAGAGCACGGAAACTCCCGAACTACCTACATGCTGTATCGACCCCCCTCCCCTCCTTTTTCAACATGGCTGCAGAGTCTTCTCCCAACTAACGCTCAGATTGGTGACTGTGTCGGTTTCTACCTTTCAGTGCCTCTTACCTTTTCGGTGTTCATCATCTTCACTCGGATGCAAAGCACGTCTTCCGCCCCGCTGTTTGATTTCATTGAGTGGAGTAACCTTCACCAATCACTCCCTGCACTGGGCCTCTTTTTTTTTTATCTCCAAAACAACTAACAACAGTTTTCAGTGCAATGGTTTGAGTAAGCACAGTCAGTTGCCCTCTTCATGAACAATGTGTGAAAACTGCGCCGAGCTGGTGGAGGTTTTAAATGAATGTAAGTAGGAATCATTTTGTTTGTATTTTGCTGACTGAACTAGCTGGATGATATTAGCATTGTTAGCATGGTGGCTAGCTAAATATAACTTTGTTTTCTCGATTAGCTTGCCTTTCTATGCATGCATATTAACCACATCGACCTCATTGTTGTGACATCCTGTGGACATATTTTATAGTGGCTGACACTCGTGTTTTCACATCGGTCTGTCTCGTTTTGCTATGAATACCTTGAAGCCTTTCTTCCTTTCAAAATTGCAGTTAGTTTGGGGCCTGTCTGTCAAACACCACCCTAAAAAACAAGCTCGTAAATACTCTGGAATCACCATGTGTGTGACATTACAGTAAACACTTCAGTGCTGTTGTCCCCTACGAACAAAGGTGAATTTAAGTGATATAAATATTGTTAGAAGACGGATTTACTAGTTAGCAAGCTGAGTTAGCAGCTTGAGCTAGCGAGCAGGCTGACTTTGTTTGATGTGTTTGTCAGGTCAGTCTGCTAGCTGTCCACTCCGCTGCCACCCATTGTTTTGCGGACTGATGAGGTTGTTGTTCGGAACGGCATTAGATCTTTATAATATGCTATTGCACCAACAGCTACTGACAATTAGACGTAAACAAACATTGCTTGTGTTTGTTTCGAAGAGTCCGTGAAATGTTCTTGGAGCTAACGGCGACTAAGCTAGCCAAGAAATTTAACGGCTGCAATAAGGCGCAGACTTTTGTCATAAACACGTCGGTAATCCTCCGTAATTTGCACAAAAATGTTTACTTAGTTCTTCTTTTATGTTATAGTTTTATTTCTTGACCGTTATGCCTTTGTCTTTTGGGCAACTTTGTTAGTTTATGCCATCCCAGATCTGGCTAATGTTAATTTAAGTCATGAATACATAATGTCTTTTATTGCTGACATGTAACCATCGGGTTTTTGCGCTTTAGGTATCCTCAGCCATTTTTTAACTTGCATAATGGTTTTGGAAACCGGTTTATATCATGAACTGGTTGACATTTTGGGATTTTCCTGTCTGTGATCGAGGCTATTGTGTCTGCTGGTAGTGATTTAGGGAAATGTTCTCCTAGAGGCTCCTGTTTATTAAACCTGACTATGGAGAATTTAGTTCAGTTAATTTATATAGCGCCAATTCATAACAAGTCATCTCTAGGCACTTTCCAAAAAGGTAATTTCAGTTCAATTATACACACATTCCAGTTGATCTTACTTACCAGAAAGTTCATTTCCATATTCAAATCAGTTTAAAAAGTTTTCTGTCTAGGTAAATTCTGTTTCTGTTGCTGAGTATTTCAATTACAATTTAGATTTTCCATATTTTCATGGTTGTTTTCTTTCTTTTCAGTCATCACAATGTCCCCAGCACTTTCTGTAACAGGGCATCAAATGCAGGGAACAGAGAAATATATTATTTCCAGACATGATGCTTACAGTACAATGATTTACCCATTATTATATCAAAGCAGTTCTTCGCTACTGTGATATTGTTCTCTTGTATAGTGTGATGTTTGCACCAGCTGTTAAGTGTTACAGAGGAGATAATAAAGTTGCAGCTGCATTATAATAAATAAGTAAGAAAACACAGTAGTTTCAAGTTTGGAGTTACAAATGAACCAGCACATTTTAAAATATTCTTTATAAGTCATAGTGAATAATACAATAAAAGTGATTTTTGACACTTTCCTGTTCTTACACACCTGACTGAAATGAATGGTTCATGACCAGGCTTTTGCAAAATTGCTGTCAAACCAAGGAGGTAATTCAGATTTTATATTCAGGTGTGTCGGCGGAAAGGTTCATTTAAATCCCACTACACGCCTGTGTGTGTGTGTGTGTGTGTGTAATATTCATATAACAAAGGACTGTTTGGATTGTAACGCATCTTGGCTAATATATTCCAGGTGTTATGATCTTTAGTTTATCATGCTGATGTAGCATTTAGCCTGTTGAACATAGGTTCACAGCAGTAGATGTTCACTTTGCACACAGATGATGTCGCTAAAAATGCTAAATGTCACAAGAAATGCTGACTGATGATGTTTGCTTATCTCTAAAACTAATAGTATAGAGCAGGGGTCCCCAAACTACGGCCCGC